GGGCAAGGACCAGGTGGTGTGCAGGGTGGGGGCATGGGTGTTTGACAACAGTTCTCCATACAGGCTGGTGCGCACACTTGGGGACAGGTGCCAGGGCAGATTCGGGGTTCAGGGGCAGGGGTGGGGACTACGAGAGGAGGTGGTCCTTCACCTTCAGTTGGTGGAGCTGTCAGAACAGAATAAGGAAAACGAAATTAAATCTGTGCAAAAGGCTGTGGACAGAAAACACCTACTGCAGTAATGAAATGTGAACTGAATGTCAATAAGGCACCAGCCGAAATAGTAACAGTGTTGTATATTACTCCCTCTGATTGCAAAACTAATTAAGCAGTCTAAGTTTTTCGTTTCAATAATTAACACTTTGTTTGCTTCTTAGTAAGGAAAACAAAAACCTCGAATCAAAGAAACAAAAAAACTCGAATCCCCTTTACACGCCAAGAGTACCCTAAAGTCTACTCGAACGCTCTGCTAGAAATTTAATCTCTTTCATGTTTTTGTCTCTTATGACAAACTAGAATTGACGCTTTGCCACATAGAGGTTATCAAATTACCTTGAGTGATTTATGGCAAAAAAGCTCAAAGTAATCTGGACAATATTCCAAGAAATAAAACAAGCATACCTTCTTCGGTGGAGCCGGATTCTTCTCCACTTCCGGCTGCGGATGCACCTATAATTATGTTTGAACGAGAAAAAGTTTTGAGCTTGATAATTGACACAACGTAACCCGAATAGTCCGCGAGGAGTAAAGGCAGATATGACAGATGCATTGAGTATTGCTTTATTTCCTATCAAACTTTGTTTTGAGTTTTATTTTTCCAAGTCAATGGCGGATGAGCAAAGACACGCTCGCCAGGTCTGGATTCTAGGCGAAAATGTGTTGGTGGAGACCATTTTCAGATCACGGATGCTATCCTCAAGTGTGTGTGTATGTTGCCTACATGTAAAAAACGTCTTAACAGGCTAAAGCCCTAAATGTGCACATGCTACCCACTTACCAGCAGCACTTCCTGAGGCTTCTTCGGCAGCAGGTTCATCATTCTTCTTTGTGTCTTCGTCTATGACAAATTAAGAGGAAATCAGAACATTTTGCACGGCCTTTCTCTGACAAGCAACGAAAAAAGCCAGAAACTATCGCGATTTTCCCAAGGAAGCCGCTCTTGCAGAAAGTAGTGTAACCTTGGTTTCTTTGACCGTATATGTGTACGGCATAGTAAAGCAAACATGATCTAGGAGGTTTTTCTAACATTAAATTCAGTGTTTCGGCTGCCTTTAATCGTTTCAATCAAGATTGAGAGGTGCATTCGTGATCTTGTGAGGTGTTCAAATTATTGTCATGTTCATTTTTAAATTTCGGAAGCATCACCGTACCTTTTGGAACCACTTCCAAGCTTCAGCAGTCTAAAGTAAGTGCGGAATTAGGGAATTGCAGTTCTAATCTTTTCTTAGTAACGTTAACCATAGCAAATCTGCACAAGCCATTACATACGGTGTCCGTTCCACATGCAAATTTCAGTTGAAACATGGGCATGCAAATGAGCGATTCATTGATTACCTTTCTCGGGCCCCGTATGAATGAGAGCTTTAAGGAGCTTACCGTGCTTGGATTTCTTGTGTCCTTTTGTAGGGGAGAGAAGAAAAAAAAATTTAAAATTAAAAGAAGGTCAGCGGTATAAAAGAACTTTTATACCTAACTCCCTTAAATAACTTGACTCTTTCACTAATCATTTCTGAGAAATTGTGATAGCCATTGTGTGAAGAGTTTTGTGAGTATCAAGTAACCTTACACATAAAGTCAATTATGACGCAGATCACAGACAGTCTTCTCACGTGTGTTTTTACCCCGATCATCAGATACTCGAGAAGAGATCAAACCGCTTAACTAAACTTAGCTAAAGTGAAAAGTCGGAAACTATGCAAATTTAAATTCTTCGTTTTAAGTATTCTTCTTCAACAGTTCACAAATTTAAGGAGTTAAAATGGTTGTAGCTAAGATGGTTTTACGTTTTGTTGTGGTAGCTTGATTCAACCTAATTTTTCTCAAACTGTCACAGTGTTACGCACTAAATTACAGTTAAATTTCATAGCAGTATCGGGAAGAGATTAACGCTGAAAAACCCCTCCTATTAAGTTGATTAAGAGGGAAACATTGCATTCGATAAAATATTAAATTGTTTAGTTAATCCAACCGTGGCCTTCAAAAGTGGTTCAAGTTTAGATTGCACACTTTGCACACGGTGAAGTGTATTTAAAGAATTATTTGCTCTCAGGAGAGGAAAGAAGATATTTCAGAGATTTGTGAAAACTTTCTATGATATCAACTGATGAATATAAAATACCAAATATTTTTAGAAAAGATTCTCTTACCTTTTAAAGACTTGGCGTCTAATGTAGAAAGTGTTAGTCCCAAAAGGACAACAAATACGAAAAATCTTATCCCCATTTTCCTGAAGGATTGAAAAGAAAGAACTCGTTATAGGTTGTGAAACAATTTAACTCAGATCTACGTACAATCCATAATTGTTTTGGCTCGGAAGTGTTCTGGTTCACCAACTTGAAGAGCTGAGGACAACTTAGGCGAACCCGAAATTTTAAGTGCCTTCCAATGCGTCACGGACTTAAACACATTCTGAGCTCGCTAAAGGTGAATTAAGATGGCTCTATCGCTTAAATTTCACGTTTTACCTTCTTCCGATAACCTTTTCCACCCAAGAGAAAATGCTGTTTGTTGTTATTTTACCACAGGGGGAAATAGAAGGGAACAATCCTCGTTATCTACTCATGATGTAAGAATAAGCAAGGGTTATTGACCTGCCCTTCACGGTACCGGTTCAAACCATTGTTCTTTAGCTTTTGAACCGTTCAATTTTTTATAGAGACCAGGCAAGGTCTAAAATGTTATTAGATTTCACTTGGATGCGAGCAAGCGAAGGCCAAATGTCGTGCCGGTTATATTAAGTAAATCACTCATGCACTGATGATCAATTCAAGAAGCGGAAGAGGATGAAATCTGAAAAAAAACCGACAGAATTGTAGATGGAAGTAGAGAAAAAAACATCCGCCAAGGTGTTGATAATATTAGATAACGTCGAGCAAGTAATGTAACACTGGTGACAGAAGCCTCAAAAGCTACTCCGAAGAGGTTTTCGTTTTCTTACCGAGATTGGAAAGCATATCTATGCGCGAGCTAATTCAACTTAAAACCTTACAAACACTTAAAATGGCAACTGTGAAAACCTATCGACGTTTGCATTCTCTTTGAATGGCGATCGCTGATTCTCAGCCATTAATAATAGATTGCGGTCGATTTGGTACTTTAATTTTAGATTTTCTCTCAATTTTTTCAATCATTTTTGAACCGGGCTGTTTTGAGACTTGCCAACGTAAAAGCTTCCTTCATGCAGAATAATTAGCCTTTTTCTTATGTGAGCGTTTTGAAAAATCAGTTGGATAATCTGGCCATTATATACGTTTATCGTCTGCTCACAACCGGAGACTGCTAAACAAACATTTTATCCCTTGATGCGTTTAGCTGGTGGGTTTTTCGTGCTGGTATTGAAAAAGATGAAAAGGTATCATAAGGCTCGTATCGGTTCAGGCTACACTATTTTCATTTTCAGAGAAGCTGTATCCTCGATCTACGATTATTAAATGAATTAAAAATCTCATTATCGGACCAGAAAAATAAAAATAATTAGGAACTAACTTTGTCGGTATTCTCAGCTAACTGAGTTTGGACACCGAGTCCGTTAGAGCAATTTTCGATTGATTGTCGAAGGCAACCTGGGATCGCTTTGGTTTTGATCTTCTCTGTTGTGATTGGCTCAGTTAGTTTGCCTGCTTTTACTTTGAGTTCTCATTGGCTTCTCGTGACATTTTCCTTTCATCTGATTGGCCCATATGATTACTTTGGATAACAAAACGAGAACATCGATTAGTACTTCTAATCGCTTTTCGAACATCTTGGCATACTAAACGGCTGTGAATATATGAAAGTCGTATATTTGAACTGCGGATAAAGACGTGAATATGATAGCGATCTCCGCAGTAATGAATACTACTTAGGCAATAGTGAAAAGAAGGCCTGGAAAAAAAAAATTCAGGCCTCTACGGGATTTGAACCCATGACCTCTGCGATTCCGGTGCAATGCTCTACCAAATGAGCTAATAAGCCAACTGGGAGGTGGCTCCAAATAAACCCGTGAAGTGGTAAATAAACGGCTGCGGAAATATGAAAGTCATATATTTGAACTGCGGATAAAGACGTGAATATGATAGCGACGTTCGCAGTAATGAAAAGAAGGCCTGAAAAAAATTCAGGCCTGTACGGGATTTGAACCCATGACCTCTGCGATACCGGTGCAGTGCTTCTTTTCACTACTGCTTAAGTAATGTTCATTACTGCGAATATTACATGCAAAGCTGTGCTTTCACTGTCTGTTATCACGAAAAAACAGTAATTACGATCTCAACATTTTTGGGTCTTTTCGTAAAGGCGGGAAATAGAACATGATCATAGTCCCTCTCTAGTCTGAATTAACTGGTTGATATTATGCAATTGTGGAGTGTTTTTATTAGGGTAAAAAGCGTCCAATCAGTGTTGTTTTATACTGAGTATCGTTGAGGTGGGCCAGCGAATGAACTATAAAGCAGTTTCTGCAGGTACACAATGTGTTAGGTATATTAAGATTTCCAGCAGCAGAACATAAAGACAAAAAAACAACAACAGCAACAAAAATCAAGAATTGAAATAGTCTAGGAAAATAACCCTAAGCGAAGCCGAAAACTTTTTGCTAACGAGGTGTTCGTAAGTTAGTTTCTTCGTTTTCACATGAAATAGCTATACGTAATATGGAAAAAGTCTTTCCCTCTGTGTGATTTCTGATAGTTGAATGCTATTATGTTATTGACTGAGCAGAAGAAGACCAGAACAAAACAAAGTTTTAGTGGTATAAGAAAGAAAATATAACTACGTCAAATCAAATACAAGAGATTAAGAGTCTTCGATATGGTTTTTTTATTAATTTTTTTTTCCTTCAAAATTTCACATGGCTTTATCATGGCTTTCAAATCAGTTTAATTCGTTCCAATATGAACTAACAATCATTGAACGAAATGCAGAGAAGTACAAAATTTCTTTCGCATTTCTTTTCTGTAAATTCTTCATTTATCTTCTTCCGGCGGGGCCTGGTGGAGCGGGTGGTCCGGGTGGTCCAGGAGGTCCGGGTGGTCCTGGTGGTCCGGGATCTCCGGTTGGTCCTCGTCTTCCCGCGTTACCAATAGGGCCTTGGGGGCCTTGGGATCCTTCGGAACCAGGATACATGTAATTGTATTGCGCATCCCTTTTGGCTGAAATGTCAAGCAAAATCAACGTTTAGCTTTCTAACTACTTTGAATTCTCAAGATCTCACCAGCTGTCATTAAATTTATTGTCTCATCAAGACAATCCTCCTTGCTCGCGGTTTTTAAGTTTGTCAGCTTTCATTTTATGTTTTCTGCATGATATATTGAGATTGTGAAGGAAGTAGGTAGTTCATCACTTCGAGGTAGTTCTAGATAATTATTCAAGTTCCTCTTGATCCGGTCTTAATACCGCCATCTTAGATCATAGGTGACTTTGTTCCTTACATCCAGAGGTTTTGTGTGCGCCTTTTCGCCTAATCAAAGACATATTTCCTGGATATAACAACAAGTGACATATTCAGATTTTTTCATTTGTAGCATATTTCTGTTGTTAAAAGAAAAATAATTTTCTTGAGAAAACAGTGGAGGGTTAGAAATAATAGCAGAAGAGTGAGGAAGAAAATGGTCCAGTAATTGGAAAAGCAATCAAAACACTTTCAATCTTCACTGATGCCTTCAATGGAACTACGAGGCCACATATTGCGACTACATTTATATTGCTTATTTTAAGCATTCTTTACCCAATTCAAATTGACTAAACGGCAGTCACTCATTCTCTTTAATCGGAAAACCTCACATTTTCCACCAAACACTGCACAAATCTGAGTATGAGGTTTTCTTGTAGCAACCTGAATTTTGGGGACAATTGTCATTTTGGCGGAAAAAAAATTGTAATAGCTGCCTCAAGTCTCTATCTCTTGGAATTTTGCAAAATTGTCTAAATGCAGGTTATCAAAACAGATGTAGTGATATCTTTGGATTTTAGAAAGGCCTTGTGTAGATTTAATTATACCCACTTCTTACGCACAAATAATAAGCAAAATTCATCAGGGTGGGTTTGTCGTTCTAGATTTTCTATTAAATTTTACGGCTAAACCATTTAATAAAAGATGCACTCTCTTTAGAGTCGAAAGGGCTTTGCTATGGAGAAGGAAATAAGATATGCTGATAAGCATTTTTACTTACTCTTGATTGGATCAGCGGCACAGAGTACCAGTCCAATGGCAATCAACAGCAGAATCCGGATATTCATGTTTAGTCTCAAGTAAACAAAAACAAAATTGAAATTTAATGTAAATGAATTAAACGAATGTTCGACAGAATTATTGACCCGTATTCTTAAATTTTCTTTTGTCAATGATGTGACGGCTCTGCTTTTTACGTAAACGGTCTTCCGTGGTCTTCTTTCATTGAATACCTTTCCAGCTTAACTACTCTATTAGTCATATATAGATATGTTCACGGCTTCAAACGATGAACGGACCTACCTTCTAGTCCCTCCTTCAAAACAAACTGCTTAACGCTCTGTTGTTCAATGATTTTATTGTGTGATCTCAACCTCTCAAGCACGTAATTCAAAACATATTTGAGAGCTTACGTTTATCAGACAACCCGACAACGCGCTCATGCGCAGGAGTGGAACAACTTGAGTTATAGTAGGAAACGGGGCCGATTGCGAGTCTTTTCTTGCCTTGATTTTATTTGCATTCTTCATGAAAAGGGAAATACGCGCAAAGCTAAAGCGCAGTTGCCCTAATGAACTGAAGGTGGCATATTGATTGTGGGCGCATTTTATGAGAACTGCTTCACAATAAAAACACTGAAGCGGAACGATTGGTGAACACAGTTTTAGTTTATTGCAGGTGTCTTAATTCTACTGCTGTCGTTTTTGATCTTCGCTTGAGTTGAGTGAGTGCGTTTTGTAGTTGAGCAGAACGACTGGTAGTTTTTGTGACACGTGAAGTAAGTAGGATAACTTCATAAGATACAGCGTGACAAATTTTTAAGCGCGCGCGGTTTAAGGACACGAAAAGATCTATCACGCTACGTCAATCAGTATTTGAGGGTGAAAGCGGTAGACTAGAGAATTTCCGCATAAAAACTGCATAAGTGGCTGGGCAGCGAAGAGCCTGAGGAAGCTCGTTCCTAACGTTGAGGATTTAACAAACCTGACATGTTATAGGTGATACCAAAATACTCAAAGTCTATTAAAAGAGAAAATATCATGCAATTCTCGACCAGCATATACTGCCAAATTTAATTTTTTGAGTTAATGGGACGTACCAAAACGCTAAAAGAGTTTGCTGTGAAAACTAAAGGAAAGCATTCAAATCGCAATAGACAAAGCGATAATGAAGGCTACTATGATTTATTTGTTAAATCTTTTTATTGGCTCTTGTTACATCAATTTAGTACAAATCCCTCGCACGAGTCAATGTTACAAGATAATGTTAATTATACTTGTTAGTAAATTTTCCCTTTTCGAATTCACTTTCATACTGATAACTTCTTTTTAGTAGTGTGCAGCACCTCTCTTGCAAAACAACATTATACTAATGCGATAAAAAGAACTTATTAAAACTAATGATAATCTTATAACATTACCATCATAAATATAACCTTTATTATTAGTATTCTTGTCAATGTTGTAAATATTAGAAGTGGACGTAAAAGATAAACAAAATGGAACGCATAACCTTCGTTACATCACTTCAAAAGCGAAACAACAATTCTTGAAAGTCTTATCAAGTCGGTAAGCTGGTACATAGAATAAAAAAGAGTTGTGATGGTTATACACGATTCCAAAACAGATTTACTTCCCTGGGGGCGGCACCGCACAACACGCAGGAGCAGGTGGAGCAGGGGGTGCAGGAGGTCCTGGTGGTCCGGGTGGTCCCGGAGGTCCGGGGGCTCCGCCAATTCCCGGGGGTCCTACAGGTCCCATCACTCCTGGGGAACCCTGTGACCCAGGATGTCCCTGTGGTCCAACGATAGGTGCTGGCTGAGGCTTCATCATGTCTGACACAGCTGGGAGAGGTGGGTCGGGTGGTGCTGGTGGAGGACTACCGCAGCAGTCTGCAAGGCAGTTTGGGGCACACTGCGGAAGACAGCCAGCTCCGCATGGGAAGGCTGCACGCTTTGCTATGAAACAAGCATTTCATTCCATTTAGCTCATACACGTTCGATTGCTATAATATCTAGGGTCGTTTTTAAAGTTCGACTTCTATTCTGTCAGTCAGTCAGTCAATTAGTCGGTCAGTCAAAAAGTGAGATGATTAATTTTTCATTCAGTCAATCGGTTAGTTGGTAAGGTCTTTTAAGGAAGATGCCAATCAGTCAGCCAGTCTGTCGGTCAGTCAGTTAGTGCCTTCGCCATCCAATCGTTTTATAAAAGGAATAAATTTGGATAGGTTTTTGATGAGCCAGCCGTCAAAATTGTGGATATATGCAAGCTCGGTCATGCTAATGACTCTTCAGAATTCGAGGCTCTTGTGTGCCTGGACCTCAGAACGCAAACTTTTCTAGATATAGAGGAAGTGAGCGATAAATATTCTCTGAAACCGCTATCTCGAGGCAATTCATTGTGTTGGTTGTAGCCCTGTTGTATAGATAGATCTTTTTAAAGATGGAAAAAAAATCAGCGAAGAATTTTGGTAAAACCGAGTAAGCTCAAAGCAAGTCCGAGAGATTTACATTGGGCTTCCACGCCATCTCATTATTTAAATCTAAGTTTCTAGCTTATTTTTCTTTTTATTCTATCAATTGAAGTTACTGGTTTGGTATTTGGGTTTGGTGATAAGAGTATACCAAACTGTATTTGAACTTACTGTGCATCGACGAGGCGGTGTAGGCTAGCCCCAGGGTGAATAGTACAGCCAACCGATAATCCATGATTTGTTCTGTAACAAAAGGAAACTAGGATTCGTTAGATGCACCCATGAGAAATCATCTTTTCAGTGCCAACTACTGATTTCAATGAGCCCCAGTGATCATAAAGCTATTTGTATATTTTGAAAAATATCATTTGCCAAATTTAAATTTGGTATCTTGGTAGTTGTATTTTTTTCCGATGAATTTCATATTCTTTTGAGAATAAACACTCTTAATCATATTTCTGTTTAGAGAAGAATGTCACGTCTTACCTGACACTATTATCCAACGATCACGAAGAGGCAAGCAACTTTCAAAGATGTCCTCTATTACTATTTAATGAGTTAAATCGGCGGTGAGTTATCAATTTTTTTCTATTGTTACGTGTTTTGATTACATTCTTGTGCAGCAGGTTTTTGAAGTGAAAGTTGTAAACAAAATTTTGATAAATGGCAGGTATTTCATGGTATTTTTGATAAATTTTCGTTTTGATTCCGTTGAGAGAAAGGTTGAGGTGTATTCAACGAGACAGCGATGAGATTCAGATTGAAGCAGTATTTTTTTCTCAGGGCATAAGTAATATAACGGAAACACGTGTGAAGGAATGAGATGTTGGTATGAGCCTTTTGAAAGTTTGTTATATAAAAGAACTGATGCGCAACTTCACTGTTATTTGCTTGCATCTATGATGCATGTGGATGTTTTTTCAGGCACTTGACAGACACGTCAAAGTTTCTGTCTGAGGTTGAGTGATCCAAACCGATGAACTCGGGGAAAGTTCAGATGTGCACGTTGCAATTCATTAGTCTGCGTTGATCATATATTTTATCTAATCGCTTACCTGCCCCCTTTCAGTTGGTTATGTCAATTTGATTTTAATCAGGTTAAATAACGATAAGTGTAAACGTAAGCTTTCACTTTAATTTGACGGACTGGATAAACTTGACCGAGACAGGTGAAATTGTCTCTTTATTGAAGAAATTGACCGCTGCCAAAAGTTGTTTGTGAGCTGTTTTGCTTTGAACACTTATCTTCGTGCAAATATTCGATATGTTGGGGATGACAAAAATTGTGTCGTAGGGAAATGACAAAACTATAACTATATATATTCTTCAAAATAATATTGATCACGGTACTCTCTCTTTAACTTGATACCGCTTTGTTCTACCTATTTTATGATTTGCGAGCTGTTTGGGGAGTTTGGTCTCATCATCATTATAAGGGATCTCATGTACTTTTTGAGGACAACGGCAAAAAAAACATTGGAAATTCCCAGTGTTCCCATAAAATTTACTCTCGTGAGTGCCTGCTTGCGTGGTTTGAAACAAAATAGCAAAGAACAACAAATGAAAAGAAGTGAACAAACATTATAGCAGTAAAAGGAATTTCAAAATTTTATTGAGTTTCTCTCAATATATAAGAACGATGTCAGCGATATTGCTTCAAAAAATCAGGAAAAAAAATTAATAAAAAGTGATTCTTGACAAGGAGCGCCTTCTCTAAAGCAGACAACCAGGTGTTCGCCACAACACCAGAAGGAACTAATAGAATGCAAAAAACTGATGCGGCGTGATGTTTATTTAATTTGTGGAAATGAAGTAGCGTTATAACCCAGAAAGGAACGACGAAACGAGTTTGTTTTCTCGAAAAGATCGAGACTGTGATTCCCAACGCTATTCAATCACTTCAGTTGTTCTTGGTAGAGTTTACAACTTCTCTATCAGGTACTTAGCGTCCCGGGGGTCCCGGAGGTCCGGGTGGTCCTGGTGGTCCAACGCAGCCGGGGCATCCTCTAGGTCCATGAGGTCCTGGCAATCCACAAATTCCTGCGAATCCTGGCGGTCCGGGGATGAGCTGTGGTGTTGGGGCTGGGTATGGGGGAGGCGGTGCAGGGGGAGGTGGGTATGGGCCGAGTGGACGGGCTGCACAACACGAAAATATACAGTCTCTTCTACAAACGTTTGTGCAACACTTTTCACAACAGGACCGAGAACAAGGCAGTGGATTACTTCTTAAGACCTTGTTGACTGAAAAAATGCAATAAAAGTTTATTAGTTTTATGGTATAGAACTAAATTTTTATGAACAAAGATATAATGATTTCTCCCCCGGATTTAATAAAAAAACCCAGCGTAAGTATAAGTGGAGCAAAAGAGAAAAGTAAGTTTGATTCGAAAGCAGCTTTCTTCTTTTGCGGATTTTGGCGACACTTTTTATGAGGAAGACTGTTCTCGCAGTTAGGAACTAACGGGAACATATAGGGAAAACTCTGATCACTTTAATATAGTTATCTCTGTGAATGAAAAGTTGAAAATGCTTTCTCTACGATGCTTACTACAAACAGGTGTCTTTGTCAAGTATCAATATAACTTATGGAACTTCATAGGGAAATGGGAGCATCTTTGCTCGTTATTATAGTGTTGTGTTACCAAAATATTGAAGATTTTACAAATACCAATTTCTGATTTTACATAAATTTTCTTTCCTACTTTCGTCAATTTCAAACTACTGGTTGAGTGTGAGATTTACTAGAGTTGACAGGTAATTTTAAGTTCGTTCTGAAAACGTTTTTGATAGGTGATGCATCGTGGAATAAAGAGATTTTAGATACTGCTGGTACTTCACGACTTAAACTTGGACTAAAAGATGATTCTTTTAAAAAGACAAAGCAACTTACGGAATTCTTCATATGGTTTCCCTTCGGAGACATAAACCACAGATATCAGCACCACCAAAACTATAATTTTAAAGTCCATTTTGTTTGAGCGACCTATTAAAGGAAATAGGAAACAATCATTAGTACTACCAAGGAATAGCTGCAGAAATTAAAAAGTAAAACTTTCAAGAAAGAAGTCGGTATAATATCATAATTCCACCTTTCTGGAAGTTTGCCAACTTCCTCCTGTCTACGTGTTTTCCTAACAGAGGTGAAATAAACGTTTTCAACTATCTTGCATTGTTTTACCTGTTAGTGAAAATTGAAAAGTCTGACGCTATCTGTTGAACACCTCTGTTCATAAACATAACTGGTGTTCTACAGAGTTTATCTCTTAAGTTTGTGTCAACCTCTCGGATCAATGTCAATATCTTAGCATTTGCTCACCTACCCTTCCCCAATTCAACAACAGTTAACTGACAAAAGGTAAGGTTTAATGTTGGGTAGGAGGCGGGAGGGGAGGTTGGTGCGCAGTTGCTCAAATACTGATATTGATCCAACTTCACAATCAACAACAACCTTCACCCTGAAGACCGCATTATCATCACTATGTACATGTAAGTTTCCTTAGTTTAGATTTTGACTGTAAAGTTAGAGTGTTTTATAGCTCATGACTTCTGTAATCCAAACAGAACGTTTTGGCTTAAGACACGCTGTTTTTGGTGTCTTAGCTAAGAGATGCTCCAAGCGCGATTTTGTGAGTATAAAAATGATTACGTCGAGTGCTCTTCTCAACGATTTCCCTGTATCCAGTTTCACGAGTTATGATCGTCGTAAATTCTCTTAGGGACTGTTGCATGTGATTAAGAGGCAGATAAAAGCAAAAGCTTGAAAAAAAGATTGAATCAATTATAGTTTCTCGTAAAGATAAAAGAACTGCCGTTGTTCAATTATAATCGTATTCATGTCCATTTCATACATCAAGTAGTGAGGTTAATTGCAATGGGAAGCAGAGAACGCTAATCAGTTACGTTCAAGGGGTATGTTTTAAATCTGCGAATTATACCCCCCTCGAATGCCAATATTTAAACAGAGTAAACTCATTTGGGTTAAATTTGAAAATTTTCCGTTGTTGTCTCCAACGTTCTTAACATTGTGCATAAGCTATGAGCCTTCGGATTGGATCGCTTCGGAACCCTTTTAGTTCCCCTTTTTTTAGAGCAAGTTACGACTTCAACTATTTTTGAGTCATGCATTTGGCAAATGCAAATGAAATAATCCTGCCTAAACGTTTGGGAACGCTCCCCTTTCTCGAACATTGTCCTACTCGTATATAATGGACAAGCTCGTTCATTTTCAGTTGTAACTGAAAACAAACTCGCCAAGATTTTACTCACAAACCCATTGGACAATGCTGAAGTTAATATCCTATTCGTGATTTTAAAGAAACATCTGACTTCCAATGTGGCTAGATCAAAGGAGAAGGGGGAATGCAAGGAATTTATTTACCAGTGTTCCGAACGTTTCGGCCAGGATTGCACCTTTTGTGGTTCTGTCTGTTCTGTATAGCGAAAAAGTATTAGAGGAACCCTAAAGTATTGGTCAGTGGTTAAGTCTTTCACGCATTCCAATCCTGGTCTGATCTAATTGTAATATTTATTTCAAGAAGTCAAAGACGGTACATTATTGATCTGTGACAAATTAATGTGATTTGTGCGATTTTTTGCAGCATGCCGGGGCAGGGCAGCATTTTGAAGAAGGAGGGGCTCGAGGAGGTGGGCATGGTGCTGGTGGTGCACGAAGTGGAGGTGAGCATGGGGGTGATGCAGGAGGGAGACCAATACATCCTTGACGAGGACTCTCAGGACAACCAATTTGTCCCATAGTTAATGGTGGTAGTGCCATTGGTTGTGCCATTGGCATGCACGGGGGTGCTGCTGGGGGCATTCCTATCGGTGGTCCAGGAGGGCAGGGAGCTTGCAAGGGTGGCGCACATCCGACACCTCGTGGGGGCTCACCACATCCCTGTTGCGCCGGTATCTGTGGCATCATTGGCGGTGGAGGAGGTGGGCAACACGGGCAACAGCTTTTTGCATCTGATGAAATATCGTTTAAAGAATTAGCTTTTCGCTTGATACATGGCAGCGATTGATAGATTTGGTAAAGATAATCTTATTTTCAGCAGAAATTTATCCTCGACGGGGAAAGTACCTAATAACGGGTTGTTTATGAAGGAAAATTGGACAGGATAGGCCAGATGCATTATAAAATAGTTGAAACTTGAACAATTTCATAATGATTTTATTCCAAGTAATTTATATATTTTTATGACTAAATTTGAAAAAGTGAGAGCTTGGAATGTGATCATTAGGATCGTTCTCATTCCAGTGTAAAAAAATGTTTCAAACCAAATTTTAAAACTTTGGTTTAAAATCAGGAGGAACATATTAAGAATAAAAAGGAAATTCGACATTGGCACCTGCCAACGTCATCACATAGTTTTGACGAGAAGTAATAAATTTCTATTACGGCATGTAGCTCTGTAAATATGTCGAGAAGCTCAATGTCGGTTTTGAAAGCTTTCAAGGTTATTCTCCCTTTTGATAATTGTTACTCTCCAGTCCCTGTCTAGTGACTGGAATTTTTTTGATCAGTGGTTCTCTTTCAACGACATGGTTGACACGTTAAACACTCACACAGTCAGAATGGGAACTCTTACTTTTTGTCGATCTTGCCTGTGCACAGCCCACTAATGCGACGAGTAAAACAGTCAGTAAATTGCAATTCATCTTACCTGCAAACAAGAAAACCATTAGCTGATTGTATTGGATATAACCCCTCTTTAAATCGAAAAGGGTCCTTAGAATAGGTTCTCAGACTCGGTGGTCACGAGAAAATAACAAGGAAGGCAAATAATTAAAAGAGTAACAAACAGCGAAGAAAAGGAATTCAAAGTATTTTGGAAAGTGGTTCAAGTTTAGTAAACTATGAAAGGAAATCGAATTTATTATAGATCGGTGTTGTGGAAAGTAAAATAAGCATGTTAGGTAGTTTCGAAAATCGCAAACTTCAATTAAAAAAAATATGTCCCGAATACTTCTCTTCGATGCTACAGAAGATTATAGATGAAATGAATTGAAAAAGAAACTTAAGGAGATAAAATTAAAAAGACTATACTCACCAGCTTTCTTTTTCCTGCTAAGGCTGTATAACAACTGACTTTGACTCTACCACTGACTTAAATTACTACTTCTTCGGTGAGTTAAAAGTATTTGCTGTTGCTTTTATTTGATTACGTAATGGCCATTACCAAAACAGTTATCAAAATTTGATTGGCTCAAGAGTTCATACTTAGGATGAAATATATTGGTTGCCATAGGAGCTAATGCACTGAACATATTTTCAAGTGAATCAACCAGTGGATCAATTACAGACGATGAAATATTCAAACTGTTTAGTTTAGCAAATTCATGATTTTTTCTTTTAGCCAATCATGCAAGGGTTATAGAAAAGTTTCCGATAGAACCTTTGTTCGATATGCTCCAGAAAATATTTCCTCCTACATAAAGGGCTGATTTTGGGAAATTTCCCAGCCATAATTTTTTCATTAAACGCCGAGTAACAATAAATTCCAAATTGGAGTGCTGAAGTTAATACTAGAGCCCCTCGTAAGGTAAGGTGAAATGGTCAGAAAAATCGCGAACACTTTACTCTAAATTCCTTCTGGAATTTAACACTTAGGGTACTTACTCGAGCAAGAACGGTTATGAAAATTCTAAGATGGCTTTCAATTGCAAGGGAGCGGGGAAGAGGGTAGGGTGCACAGAAATTTGCGTTGAAAACTATATGCTGTCCATTATCAAGGATTCGATTTTCAGCTTTTCAACGGCTTACGGTTGAGTATTTTCAATCAGGGTTTACTAAGCAATGTGGTGCAGATCTTAACACCGGCGTTGTTTTTTAAAGGAATTTTAATTCATTAAAATGACCAGTTAATAAGTAATAACACTTGATCAATATATAATTGGGTTTTTCTTTATTGTGACACAGGAAATATTTTGAGAGTTACATGATGAGAGAAAGAGGGTTCCCTTATACTTAGTTCTGTGTAGTTTTCCTATGCAAGTTATGCGATGTGAATTGGGTACCCTGAAGTAACAGGATTTAGCCGGTTCTGTGCACAGCGGAGTTGATTAAGGTGTAGTTCACAGGTGCCTTATTATTGGAACCCACAGGTGGAGTTGACTTGAAAATTTATAACCTAGCCTGCTTTATTAGAAAGGAAGAGCCCTTTTAGATTATTTTACATGGGTGAAATGTGAAACGATAGATGCATTAAGGCGAGACAGAATACCTGCAACAATGATACTGAAAGGCCAAAGAGCCATGAAAATTGAAGGCAATGAGATTCACTATCATATGAATCCAGGAGCAACATAAATTTGGAGTCTTTTGACAGATGAATGCCGACATGTCGATATATTTTAGGAAGAACTCGAAGTCTCATTTTTCCTTTGTTTATTAACTGTACTCAGACATCGTGTTTTACATCCTTGCTGCCGTGTTTTTTCCCCAGAATTCAAGTTCTACAGCATGCATTTGCTGTTCAACTGTTTTTTTTTTTAAGTAAAACACTGAAAGGTAAAACAAAAAACCCAATTAGTCCAAGAGTGTATGCTCGCGAAAAAGGAAAAGAAAAGTGATACTTGTTCATCTCATGATTAAAAAGCTTTAAAACAATCAAACCTTTTTTTTTTAATGTAATTGTCTAACTCTTTGCTTCTCTTGGTTTACTTGTGCAAATGATGTGGTTTCCCGTGCCCTTTTGGCGTCTTCTTGTGCCTCACGAAGTAAATGAAAATAAGTATTACTGAATTTTCTGGAGCAAAATGTGGACTTTTCCTCTTAAAGTATGCACTCAAAGGGATCATAACATATGATTTGAAAGAAAAAGCAGCGTGAGCTCTATTTAGCCGATGTTCAATATTTATCTCTGGCAGTCGGGGAGGAAACTCACGCATGTATTCTATTCATTTTGTAGTAGCTGAGGTATACTAAGCTTTCTAGTGATGACATTATTTTAGAAATGTTCTCGTGAGGTAAAATAATCACTGACAGTTTTTGTTGTGATTTAAAAAGTGAAGTTTATTAAAAGTTCGTGTCGATCGTTTTTATTCCTTCAATCTATAAAGGAACCAATTACTTGCAGCATGCGGGAGCAGGGCAGCATGGAGTAGGTGGTGGAGGTGGGCATGGGACTGGGGCAGCGGCTCCGGGAACTCCCTGAGGTCCAGGAGCTCCTGGAGGTCCTGGTGGACCGGCACATCCTGGGCATCCTTTGAGTCCGGGGCAACCGGGGAGGCCTGGGCTTCCAGCGCATCCTTTAGGTCCCATTGGTCCTATTGGTCCGAGAGGTCCAGGGGCACCAGGAGGTCCTGGGAGACCGACTGGTCCTGGGCATCCTTTCCATCCTGGGCATCCGGGAGCTCCTGGGGGACCAGAACATCCAGATTGTCCGGGTGGTCCCTGTGGTCCAGCGACCTGTTGAACTGGTGGTGGTGGTGGTGGAGGAGGTGGACAACAGGGACAACAACGTTTGGTGCCTGTTGAAATAAAGAGAGTGCAAAAGAAAAAATATTGCACCTTTCGCCCAAGCATCGTGAAACGTTATAACCCTACTCCAGTGACAGCACTGCCTTTTTAACTCACCAGTCACTCTACAGTTGAATGACCACCTGCATCCACACTTATTAGTAAACACATATTCCAGAAAATAATAAAGTAACTTAGGTTTCCATTTTAAATTGAATTCATATGACTAAGAGGAGTAAATGAATAGGAAGGGTAAATGGAAGTGAAATCTTCCTCACTTGAATACGTTGCAATGTAAAAGGCTACCTCGTCGTAGAAAGGCAAATGAAAATCAATTGATTCAATCCAAAGAAGCTGTTGAGAAAAGTACCACCTGCTAACATGATTTCGCTATGACAGGCGGGTATCAACTAATTTTACGGTCTAAATCGTCGGAAGAAGATGAAAAAAAAAAAAGGTTCATGATACGAAAGGATAATGGCCATAAACTCGATAAGTAAAACTCTGCCGAGATTAATGAACTTCTTCCTAAGCTGCTTCCTGTCCTGAAATATGACAATCATCAATCGTTCCAATTACATTAAAATTATTAATTCTCATTGGTTCAGATCATCGGGTCGAAAAATTTAGTTCAAACTGGCAGGAAACGAACTTAAATTATATTTAGGATTGTATTCGGTGATAGAACTGGTTTTCTTTTCGATTTGATGCCACCTGGTGTGCGTTGTGTTAAGTAAGTCACTTTTCTTAGACAATCATCCCATACAAAGGTCTAAAATAGATTACACAGTTTGACGAAAATTGGTGGAATAATTTTTCTCAATATTAGGCATTCGTGGTTCTTACTTCGAAAATCTGTTGCACAAGCTGATGATTTTGACTTGCAAAAGTTTGGCAGAGATTTATTATCTTAACATAAACATCTTAATTGTTTTTTATCAAAGCTATTATGTTTCACGTTTGACCTAATTCAAACTTTACAAAATAAACTAGCGAACTTACCTTTTGTCGACCTAGCATGTGCGTAGCAGACGAAGGCAAGAACAAATAAAAATATTATCTTGGAATTCATCTTACCTAAAATAATAATGAAATAGATGAAGTAAGGCTGTATCCTCAGCTATTTCTCATAAGTTTAAGTTAGAAATATTGGAAGAAGAGTCACAGCGATGTAGTTCTAAAAGAATATTAGAAAAAGGTCGACAAGGAGCATTTTGAACTTTGAAAGTGTTTGATTTAGGGTAATCGATCTCAGGAATTCGATCATGTTATAGATCAAATGGAACCGCGGTCATGTTAAAAAAAATCAACAAGATAACATAGACAAAATAATAATGTTGTGACTACTCTTAAATAGCTTAGTCTTTATGACAGGAAACATCCATCAAAATTCTCAGTGAATCTGTGAAAATCTTGGTTTCAAACTATGCAACATATAAATGTAAGACTCACCGATTCTCCTATCCTGTAAAGTCGGTTAAAATGTGACCTACTTTGATGCGCTAGTAGTATTTACCGACATGAAAGTGATTAATTTTAAATGGCTAAGTTGGTGGTGTTGGGTTCTGATTGGTCAACAACTTCATAACGAGCAGGTGACGTTAGGTTGCAAAATAACTCGTTTGGTGTCACTAAAATGGGCAGTGGTTTAAATAGTAATGTGTCAAGCCCACTTTGTCACGCTTGACTTGGGTCTATTGTGTGCTATTTTATTCTCGTTTTAAATATTATGGATAGTGTTAGAGTTTTGTTTGTAAAAATCTAAGTGCGGGAAAATGATGAGTTACAAATGTTAAAGACACTCTATTACATGGCCGTTTGCAAACAGATTTAAGATAATGTGTTTTTTTAAATGCGAGGCACATTTTGCCATTTGGCCTTAAAGACAAGTTAAATGCTGCTTAACAAATACTTCACCTGTAACATGATAGGATTAAGTGAAAATTAAACCTCGTAATTATGAAAAGAACCACTAATATAAGGAAAGTGAAACAGAAATTAAACCATCAGTTAAGATTACAACTCATTTTACAGAGGAAAATTAGTAGGAGAAAAGCTAAGGTAAATATTTGGGCAGGTTGTGCTTTTATTCTTCACTTGGTAATTACAGGTAATCCTGATGAGTTCCAATGATTCTGGCACAGTTTATTTATCAAAGTTTCACGCTTCGGCTAGCTGATTAATGCTTCTTTACGCCATCCCAAAGTTATTTTCCACTTCAAGCCAATTTTTAAAGGAGCTGTTAAAAGAAATTCTGACCTTAAGCAGATTTTCATGTGATAAAAACTTTTATCACCTAAGAAATAGGGTGACACGATTGAAACAACTCGTCAAACACAGAGTTTGCTTGTTTCTTTTTATTTTTTAAATGTGTCAAACTTGTTAAATTGTAAATGAAAGAATTCAGATGTCTGCTGTTGGTTCCTAATCTCCCAGTAAGGCCTCCCATTGTCCAAGATTTGTGCTCGCTGAGAGACATTTTACGCTCAGATATAGATGTGCAATGACTATGGAACAACATGGTTCCATAAATATGTTTAAATATGCGCATAGGAAGCCTCAAGCTTTTTAACAAAATATATGTATTGTATTTTATAGATTCAACTATGTTTTGAGGTGTCTTGATGCTTACCTCTCGAAAATCAAAAGTGATTTTAAAGAAAACTACTCTGTTTGTTCGTTCGTTTAATAAATTTTACCATGTACTACCACTGTAATAACTGAAGTAGGTATATGAATGAGGACGTGCAGAAAAGGTATTGCTAATGATTCACTGTAGTCCGTCCACCATGACTGAGAAATTCGACAGCCGTTTTTTCGAGTCAGGAAATCACTGTTAGAGAGATGTTTGTATGTGGATCTCAAGAACACAAGCACTCATTACACGAATTCTTTTTCGGTTAAGGAGAGAAATACTCAGTGTATTTGTTTTACAGCAAGTTTTTGAAATATGTTTTGCAGGAAAGTCACTGCATTCTTGTCTGTTGGTCCAGTGTCAAACACAAGCAAGGTTGAAAGCATTTTTGGTATTCTTTAACGCGTTAGATTTTTTAACGATAATTTGATGAAATTTAAAAGTTCAACTCTCAATTTGATATGAACAAAAATTCTTTCTCGTCTAGTGAATTCGTGCTTCGTATATCTCAGTTATATCGTGGTCTGTGAGGAGGATCGGAACAGCTATTTCATGCCTTGTGTATCCTGAAATGTTAAGCTTACGTTTTTTGTGTGAGTTGGACACAGCCCCCAAACCGTGTTAACCCTTTCTAGGTGCATCCTTAATCCGTCCCCTTTAGCTCTAGATTATTTTAGTTTTTCGGTGATTTCTACCCTAGGTGATGTTATGCTTCACAGAAAACGTTTCGAAATATCATTATGTGGCCTTAACCAAGCGTGAGGTACATTTATTAGAATAAATGGATATCATTGATGGAAGAAGATAACTAGTTTTCAGGGACCGACGCTAAGAAAGGTCCATAAAAACGAAAAAAGGAAGTTTACCAGCATGCAGCCATCTAGACCCTACTAGTTGAAGCAAAAAAAATAAAGGGCAAAATTTTATAAGAAAGAATTTCAAAGTAAATTTAACGAGGCTTGTCGCAATTAATTCATGGTTTTGGAGACCTTCAAGACGTGTTTTGCGATTTTTTTCGTTTGCCGAGAGAGGAGGAGGACTCTCTAGGAAGCAAAAAAAAAAAAGGAGAAAGAGAAAATTTTTTACAACTACTTTTTAAAATACTTCTCTCACTTCTTGAGAAATTTCAATATAGGGATATGCGAGTGGCCTGCTGCACGACGAAACCCTTACATAGTGTTTTAACGTTTGAACCCCTAAAGGTGACTAGCTTTTCTCCTTACATTAACACTCCTGAGTCTTGAAAATAAAAAAGAAAAACTGATTGCCTTCCTAAGGAGCTGATCATTTTCAAAAACCATCCTCGTAAGTACCGTAGGAAATGTATAAGCACACTGATATTAGGGTGCAAAGGGTCAAAACATAATCGGATATCGGGCGTAAGGATAGTTAACTTAAGGTAGCCCTACTGCCTATAATTATGTGGGACTACTATTTAAATGTCATACGGCCCCTGTACAGTCATGACACTACGTTTAGAGAATGGGTCAGCATCCTTTTTATTGCTCAACCGTGACATGCACTACAAAATAAAGGAATATTTTGATGTGAAAAACATCTTCTTATCGTCCTTTCCATCTCTCATTAACAAGGCTTTAATAATCGCTCTTGAAATAACTCGTACTGTTTTGGCTGCATGCGCAATTTAACCGCAGCAGCCACCACCGCAAGGGGCGCACGGTGGCTCAGCAGGTGGTCCTGGTGGACCCGGAGATCCTGGGGGTCCTGGAGGACCAGCAGGGCCAACAAATCCTGGGGCTCCGGGACTGCCGTTGCATCCTTTCATGCCGCTGCAACCGGGGAGACCTGGCGGTCCCATACTTCCGGGTTGGCCAGGAGGGCCAGGAAGAGCGGGTTTTCCTGGAGCTCCTGGAGGTCCTATTGGTCCCATCGCTCCGGGCTCGCCTTTGAAACCGGGGCATCCGGGAGCACCAGCACAGCCTATTTTTCCAGGTAGTCCAGGAGGGCCTGGGAGGGCAGGTGGTCCTGCTGGTCCTACCGGGCCTGGCGGCCCAACTGGTCCTGCTGGTCCTTTCATTCCCGCACATCCAGGGAGGCCAGGTAATCCCATGCAGCCAGGTGGCCCGGGTGGACCGGGAAGAGCGGGTTTACCGGGAAGTCCAATAGGCCCCGGTGGCCCGAGTGGCCCTCCACTGCCTGGTGGCCCTTTAAGCCCAGGACAACCGGCCATCCCTGGAGGACCTTGACATCCGTTAGAGCCTGGTAGTCCGGGAGGCCCTGGAGGGCCAGGTGGTACTGGTGCTGGAGGGGCAGGTGGAGGAGGACAAGGTGCATCTGGGGGTGGACAAACAGCAGATGTGCAACCACATCGCCTGGCGACTGAAATATAATTTACAATTAGTTTTTGATCATATTTGATACTTCTCCACCGTGGAAAATGTATATGAAATGAAACAAACCTTATCCTGAAACGTAAATTGTGCCTTTTATCTTGGGTTTTTTTTGTACGGACATTCTCAGAGCTAAGATTAATGCTAGTGGTCGAGATGATCAAACGTGATTGTTTGAATTTCATTTTGGCATGAAAAAGAGTTCGCATTTGTAATTTTAGATTAGATTCATATAATACATATGAGATGTTCCTAGACTGGAAAACTCTAAAGCTATCACGCGATCATGATATCGAGAAAACAACGTTTTCTGGAATTTGTATCAATTTAAATGTATTGATGAAACGGATTTTTTTTTAGCGGATAATGCGGGATGAAAGTACGCAAGAATCAATTCTTTCACATAACTTGGCAAATATGTCATTTGGATACCAAGTGAGCCTACAAAGATAGGCAGTGAAGTCTTTGAGCTAAAACAATTCCACATAATCCTTTTGCTGAGTCCTCGCGATTTGATTTGATTTCTAAAGAGTGCCACTATGGTTAAGGATAGATTGTCTCCTGGCACTTTAATTGCTTTAATTATTAATTACTTGACGAGAAACGATGAACGGATTAGGAAAGTCAAAATACATTTTTTGAATTGCATAAATGTACGCCAGCTCTAAGCATCTGGATTCGTAAAACCTTGGTAGGTCGTAATCCGTCTCCACTATGAGTGTAGTGTACTAGAGCAATTTATTATCGAGAAATATTCTTACTTACCACTATGAATTGACTTGGCGGTCACGGAGCCAACGAAGATGACTGCGAAACACCATACCAGCTGAGTTTTCATATTTAGGCCTGTCTAGGAGGACGTGAAAGTAGACTTGAATACAAAGAATTTAGGATGAAATCAATTAACAAAATAAATTCATCATCAGTTAACACAGAGATATCATATAATGCAGAGCCTGTCGGACGCTTTTTGTTAAGTCTACTTGTAGATGCGAATATTCGCTCTTGTATTAGACACGTATCGTCTATGGTTAGATGAAGATCAAGTAACTCAAAAGTGAAACGCTGATTAAAAACATCTTTCGAGTCTTCAGATAAAACGAAACTCAAGATATATCTTAGAGGGAACACTTACCTAAACGGTGTGTAAAGACCAAATACCCGTCTGAGCAATTGAGACGACTATCGTATATATGAATACGCCTGTACTGTTAAATTATTAAAACTGCTGAGATCATATAATACGCTACAATCTTGGCTTCTTAACCAGACGAAACATTCCGGGAAGTAATATTCCCATTAGGTGAGTGAGTTGTTTTAAGAAATGAATTGAAAAATGATTGGAGAAAAATATCCTAATATTTGTCTTTTCCTTAAGCTGAAGGGTGTCTTGTGTTTCCAAAACCATTTGTCTGTGGTGTGAAAGAACAAGCAGATACAGGTGTGAAATTCTTGAGTGCCTGCTTAGCACTTGGTGTAATAGATTTGATTTTGCATTTCTACTATTTGCAAACTACGGAATTTTTTCCAGTTGTTTTCCATTTACCTCACTATTTCTTACCTTTATGCCTTATTACAAGCGATGATAGTTTTATCGTTCGTATCTTCTTTGGTTATCTTACAGATACTTAGTATTACTTTTTGTTCATTTTCAAGTCTGACTCTTATTGTAAGTTATCTAATTCCTTGCATACGTTTCTATCCAGTATTCTGAAATACAGTTATAGGGAGAAAAAACATGATGTAAAGGTGTGTGGTCTAATCAGATCCAACAATATTTATTTTAAATACGGTCTCTTTTCTTGTTTTTTACCTCATCTCAGGTTAGGTTATCGTTTGGGTGCGGACAAAAGGACAATGATTTTTATAATGAGTTTTAGCCACCAGAGTCTTCGATTAAGGACACAAAGGGTTCTACTGATTAAAAGATGTGTTTTTGTTCGGTAATACAGGCTTCACCATCAGCTCAGCAAAGTGTCATTTTAGCCTTATTTCGGATAAGGCTTTTATTTAAGAAAAAGGATAAAATCTCAATTGTCCGCGCGTAAGTTGGCTTTATAATGGACACAGGTGGCCGCCCTTTCTTCAGCTTTCTTCATATAAAAGCTTTAAAAGTTCCAATGCTATCTTCTCCCGAAACTACGTTCCAAGACATGATAAGTAAAGAATCGTGTGGAATATGTTACCGTTACTGATTTTTGTAACAGTTTGCAAGCATTGATGTAAATAGTTCGGTGTGGTCTGATATTTCGGGTGAGTTGAGTTCTGAAAGAAATTGTTGTCAGTGGTGGTGAGTCACTTCTGAGGCGACAATATGATAGTCTTTCAGAGACCACACTTACTGATAAAAGAGAGGATTTGGTAGTTTATGACGACCATTATCATGCTAAGATCGGAAATAATTGCCTTTTTTTAGCGTGTATAATATGACCGCTGTTGCTTGCCCTTTGTTGTACACGGAATCTTTCACCGTAATGCGTTCATGTAATAGAAACGGAATTATTGTTTCCTATGATCTTGGATAACTAACTTTCAGCTCTTAAGTTTGCAAGCAGAGAAGGTATTCCATTTCATGAAATTTCGAGCGAGTTATGTTTGCGCTGTCACTTGTGGTTGTAACCGTTGGTTTGTCGAAGTGATTTTGGGGTCCTGTTTATGAGGTAGATGGAGTGGTGGAATACATGGGCCTTTTCGGTAAAAACATATTCTCTGGCATAATTTATTAATTAAGGCTCTTTAAGTATGTGTGATGTTTTTCATATTTTGAATTTAGCCTTATGTGCCTGATAAGCTATGTATAGGTAAGAGCTTGAAAATGTGTGTAGCTTTTTCTTGAAATCTGATCATATGGCTGAGTGAACTGAGTCCCCTAGCAACTCTGTGTGTAAGGTTATGAAAAACCTTAGTGGAGGCAAAGTTTAGAAGTTTCAGTGAAAGAGGGTGCATCACTTTTTTTGTAATTCAAAAAGATCTTTAATTGATTTCTGTTGAAAGTAGAGTCTCCTCGAAGGAGAACGAAGGACTAATACAGAAACAGGTTCTCAGTTATCTTCAATGTAGTCTGCTGTTGCAGCAGATTTTGGTGATTGATCTGTTTCTGAATTGCATCCTAACCGCAGCAAGGTTGAGCTGGGGGTCCTGGTGGTCCTGGCGGTCCTGGAGGTCCTATTGGGCCGGGGGCACCGTTGAGTCCAGGGCAGCCTTTAAGTCCTTGGCATCCGGATGGTCCCATGGGGCCCATCGGGCCGGGTGCTCCGAGTGCGCCATTAAGACCAGGTTTTCCAGGAAGTCCAATTGGTCCTGCTGGTCCTGCTACTCCTGGAGCACCTTTCCATCCAGGACAACCAGTGGATCCTGGAGGGCCCGCGCAGCCGAGGGCTCCTGGAGGGCCAGGAGGTCCGGGGGGTCCCGCAACAGGCGGGGCTGGTGGGGGAGGTGGAGGTGGTGGACAACACCTCTTTGAGGCTGAAAAAAGTTGAGGAAACGTCACATGCATCAATACCACAATGTTATATACTTGCTACTTTGAGCCCAACTGATCGTTCCATCACCATTTAAGGTGAGCACATGGCGAGACATTGTTGTTAAATACCAATATCAATATTATGGTACTTCATTACGATAAGCAAAGAGGAAATATCATAGGGGTAAATGATTGCCATTTCAGCCTTCAAGACTTATGATTTAATTCAGTGGCTAGGAGTCTTGTCCATTACGCTCCAGAGCGTCTAGAAGTAGGGATGGACTATATGGAAAATTTAAATTTTAAACTTGGACGAAAAATTTAATGCCTTCTTTGAACACATTTTGTTTATTTACCGTTTTAAATCAGGTACCCGTCAAGTTATTCTTAGTAGTCCACGGAAACTTAGCCGGTGAATTCTGTCTTCAGAATCATTTTACTTAAAGACACTTCCATGAAGACGGTACCAAAAACTCTAAATACAATCAAATCTAAAGATTTTCTCTCCTCAATCTGATTTATCTCCACTCTAAAGAACAGGAACATACCATCATCGTGGCCATGGTGGTAGCGCAAGATAATTCTCTTGCATATATTTCAATCAACAGTTGATGAATTTCACTCGAGATAGGATCCCGCATTACAAGTTTTTTTCCGAGATCTTAGATAGAGTGGAACTAGTGGGGTCACCTAAACATTACAGATGTATTCTGAAGTCGTCTTTCGTCTTTCGTTTTGCCTTTATTCTCTGCTGGAATTCCTTATAACGGTCGTGAAGTAATCGGACATGATAGTCAATAGTATTCTAATTGACCCGAATATTTCAGAGTAACTTTCATGGTTTTTCAAAACGATGCGATCATTTCTATGTCACAGATACGGCACTTCTCAACCAGTTTAAATTTAAATCTACCGCAAAGATTTATTTCGCGAAAACTCCACGGAAAACATTGGCTCACCGCTTAAGTAAAAATAACTTGAGGTATCGCTTCAGAGGTGTTATTTTCATTCTAGCTTCTTAAATGATTGACGATTCATTCCTCTCAGAGATAAATTTAAGTATCGAACTTAGGAAATTTTAAGAAAATTACATCTTAGAAAGACATATTTATTTGTCGTACCAAAGGCCATAGAGCGTCCAAATAAACTTTCACTTCCCCTTTTTCGAGAAAGATTTGGTATGAATAGCTGTCAAGCAATTTACCCTTCTGTCAGGAAGATTTGTATCCCACAATTATTCCTCGTTCAGGCCATATGCACTGTGACTATCTGTGTTCTTGACACTTTACATGGATTATTGTTTTACATTTATGAAGTTGTCATATGTAGGTCAAATGAAGTAAATAGTGCACTGTTTTTTTTAATTCTGCTTACCTTCGAGAGACCTCGCGGCTGCGGAAGCTACCAAAAGAACAGCTACGCACAAAATTAACTGGACCTTCATGTTCCTGCGGATTTGAAGAAAAATATAGATTAGGGTTCTTAGCAAAGGAAGAGATTTATAAACATCACCAAATATTAGGATGGTCGAAATGGTTTATCATGCTAATGGTGCCAGCATTAGGTTTTTTTGACCGACAAAAACACAATGAGTTGTAGGAAAAAATTGGTGAAGTTCAGATTCATTGCTGTGACGAAACACGAACTTTGTAAAATACAGATGGCTTACCTTTTATGGCCTTTTCGACCTGAAAAATGTCCTATTTGATTAAGGTTCCTCTAGTTTATGCGATCTTATCAATAAATTATTGATTGCTTGCCAGGGGAGATGTTAATGGTTCTGGAATTACGTTCGTGCTGCCCGTCAAGTTTCATGTCTTGTATTGGTTACTTCAGGTTGTTATTAATTCCACTAGTTTAGCGCATCAGTCGTTCCTTGTCAAAACATTGCATATCTCCTCAAGAGAAGTTTGGAGTTTTAGAATGCATTCGTGATGGAAGGATCTGAAATTCTCCAGCAAAAGAGAAATCAGTTTAAGTATCGTGTGCTTTTTTAAAGAAGGGAATCAGTAGAAACAGAGAACAAGCGCTTCCAATCATAAGAAGAGTCCTTTAAGGATGTATCGTTTCCGTGGTTAGTTAATTTGTTGTCATATTTCGGTGACGAAACAAAAATAAACACTTAAGGAAGAAGCATACAAATCTAGACTTGATCAATAGCAAACGTTTTCAGGCCATGTAAGAGCTGAAGGAAACTCCAATGCGTTTCCTTTTGGAGTGTGAAGTGAGCGCTAGATGAAAAATTTTTTGCCCTTAAATCTTAAAAATGAAAAGATAATAATTGGATCTGGCACCTGTATCCACATGCTTCTAAAGGAAAATAATGTTGACCTAATTATTTTTGCTTTCTAGTAGAAGTTTGCACTGGGCGGGAAAGCTGTCATTCATAAAAAAGGTACTGTAACTGGGGAGGTAGAGAAAAAATACAGTACTAAAAACCAAGATGAAAACGAAAAAAAGCGAGTTAAGATAAAATTTTTGCGTTCTCAATATAATCACCCCGCAAATTCATTACTGCGATGATCATAACCCAGAGACTGGAGCGAACGTAAAATAAACAGTAGGTGGCTGAACTTGCCTTACGAATTCAAAGAAAAGTAGTTAATCTTGCTGGTCCATAGCCTTTATGCCAGGGTTTCCCTGAGATTATGTGGTTTTTATTAGCATGATTGTGTAGTTCTTATCATTTTAATTTTTATCAGGCCCCAATTGATAGCAGTGCTTGAGGCATCTGAATGGGCTACCCTGAATAAATAAAAGTCTTCTTCTTCTTCTAAATATTGTTTATCCCCGGAAGATGAAAGGCATTGTAAGAGTTAGGTACTAAACCGGCCAATGAAAAAGCACGTTGACTCTGACCGGTGCTGGAGACCCGACTTACTGATCCGGAAGTCGACGCGCCATTTTTAGGGCCACCAAGACTGATCCCTCCCATGGAATCTTGGGGAATGTTTATCATAATTAATTGCAAGTAAAAGCTAAAGACGCACATCTGAGTTATCAGATGAATAACATTTATTAGCCTCCTTTTAAACTCCTCTGTAAATTACTTTTACGCTACCTGAATTGTTATTGTCGCGATATAAGTGCTGGACAGATATAAAATCAAAAACAGATTACCGTCATTATCATCAGCTTTAACAGATGATTGTTATTTATTTAAGCTTAAGAAACCTGCACATGCTCTTAATTTTGTTTGTTGTACTAATTAGAGAAAGATTTCCGTCGCAATCAGTGGCTAGACACATGGTGTTGTATTTTTTATACACAAATCGTTTCGAGTTTCCACTTCTTATCCTTATTACTGACTCTTCAAAGAGGAAACCGTCCTCAATTGGTTTTTGGCAACCATGTTCCTGTGAAAGAAGAACAAAAATACATGTCAATAAACATTAATAAACATTCAATTGATGAATACGAACAATGAGCATTAATAAGGCATGTAGACGAGTACCACCTACTTTCTCAGCTTTGCCATAAAAGGAAACTTTAGTCCACAACTTTGAAGAAATGCAGAGCAAATTCGATTGTTTATGTAATTCAGAATGAGTCCACTTTAAGACTGTTTTGTTCCCCGACTGAAACCTTTACATGACCTTTACATATCAATGCTAATTTTCGTGGAAAATGCAAGACTCGCGACTATTTTTGATTCTTCTAGAAATCTGACAGAGTGACACTTACATTTACATTCTTTTATTTATGTCTACCATTCCCAAATTCAAGTACGAGAACAAAGATCTAAATGAGCTGTTTTCTTGAGGAGTGGCCAGAGATGTTGAGTACTTCTGCTCACGAACAATTCTCAAAAGACTTCCTGACTAACCTCAAAAACAACATTGGTCCCGTTGACGACCTTTAAGGCATATAGGTATTGAGTTCCGTTTTCGTTTTTAGTGAATTGGATGCACTTCCTTCCTCCCACGGACTCAATCTTAATTCCTTTGATAATGGAAGAGGAAAACAAGATTATGAACGAAAATATGGCGCTAAATATTACCTTTGATTAAACGGCAACATCCTTTTGATAAATTGCGAGATCGTTTCAAACTACAACTGATATTGGTGTAACAAAAACTCGATAAAAAAAAGGAGAGGATAAACATGGTAAAGGATTCAATTTGCTTTTTGAAATGGGAAATACACTAAATCAACTTTACTTTCGTGAAAATCGGTTCTTGAAGAACTAGAAAAATCAACGAACTTATTCATCTTGCCCTTAATTTACTTCTTTGTAAGATTTTTTTCACTGGCGTCAATACTATGATTTTGAAGTTCCGTTTGCGCTCCATGTCACCAAGATTTCAGACACCTAACTTACTTGTCGTAGGGTCTGAAGTACGAGAACCATCACATTTTGCTAAACAGTGCCGTTTTCCTGAAAACGTTGAACATTTTTCAGTATGAATCTTAAGGAGGTTTCCTCCTCTGCAATTCTGTCCACGGTAAACTGAGCTTAGGCTTCGAACAGTTGATCTTGATTCGACGTTCGCCAAAAGCACCAAAAAGACGGCTAAAATCTGCAATCAAAACACTTTATATTTAACTGGACTAAGGAAAAAGTTTTTATCGAAATGGATTTATAACATTGATCTACAGCTTACAGGGGTGCGCTATCCAACCAGCAATCAGGAAGACCTGTGAACTATTGGGACTTATAATGAGGTTCGTTAAAAACTATTATTTTAGAATGTGCGTGCCACAAGCTTTAAGCAAAGTCCGGTAAAGCTGTAAAAAAACATATTAAATTTGCCCATCATACCCACCGTAAGTTTTGAGTCCATCTTTTACGCACAATGGTCTACAATACTGAAGCTCCTGTGTGTTGAGGGCAACTGAGATTTGTATTGATTCTTTTTCTTTATATCCTCTGTGCGGAAGTGAGAAACTTCTCTGGACGTGACCTTCGTGACAAAGACGGGAACGATTGCCATTGCTGCACCGGATGATCTCAGATGAAACATATTATTCAGTGCGACTGTGGGATTTGTTTCAATGCAGAGGGGGGTAAACTACATAGGGTTCACTTGGAGTGTTATTTCCCGTTTTTTTTTTTTCGAAGAATGTAACATTGGCCAATGTTGCAAGCTAAAACTTGACTTAAAGTGTAACTCTTGAAAATTCTTTCATGTGATTTTTCTTGGCGTGCCCTATTGCCCACCTAACTCTGATAATATCCGGTAACTCCAACACAGACCCTCTTTCCACTCTGAGAGATTGGCAAATGAAGCGCAACTCTAAGGCATTCCTCAACAGTTTGAATTGAGACTCAGCTTGCAAGCAGAAGAAATTTACCAAAGTTAGCAAATTTCCCACGATTACTGGATTCCAATTACGGGTTAATAGGGATATGAAGCGATTAGTGATAATTAGCGTTTTATTGAGAGGAATCGTCACAACTATAAGTAATGACTACCTCCTGGGTAAATGGTATCACCATGCAATACCTTTGGCAGTCGTACAGGTACCCTACACCGATTAAAGGCATATCCTTCATGATTGGTTTAACCTGTATGTGGAGCAACAATCTATAAAACCCGAAACCTGTGTTTCCCAGAAATATGTAAGAGGACTGTCGGAGCTTAAGTTGGGAGCTTCTTGAAAGGCGGATGGCTTTTAGCTAATTGTATGAAATTCTTATATTTTCCTATAAACCTTGATTTTAGACTTCACCAGAAGTTCTGACGTCTATTCAGTTGCTTTTTTCTGATTGTGCAAGAAAAGAAAGCCTTGATAAGATTCGGTGAGAATGGACGAAAGCTGAGGAGACCCTAACCTTATTTCAAAAAGAATAATGATAATGTCTTTCGATGATCCTGCATACATCATGCGGATCTTATTCAACGGCTACAGAAAAAGTACCACGTAAAGAAATAGTCTATCAGTATAGATATTTATATCGGAATAATTGGATTAAAAGTTAAACTCTATCTTTGATTTATGCATCCGTCACTTCAGTGCCAATTTCTTGTCGAATGCTGTGATCTTATCAAACTCCCTAATTGCTATTGCGGTTAAAATATTACTTTTTCAGTCATACTTGATTACAATAAAATATTGTATGGATTTTGTTTTCCCAAGAGCGAATTGTGCCTTTCAACAACGACCAAGAGATCTACCGTTTCCACAGATAATCGAGTTAGGCGTTCTCTTCCAAACAAGTCTTTGCACGGACGGGCTGAGAGATTATCTTATCAGACACAAGGCCATACAAAAGCTACGGATTTAACTCGTGTCAAAAATAATTGCTCGCGCTAAGAGAATATCAACAATTTATATTCTCCTGCTCGCGCTTATTAACAAATAGACTGATAACTTTTCAGACACTGGCCAGCTTGAAGAACGAACTCGAGCTGGCATCTTACGACAATACTTAATAAGGTATTTCATTCTTCTTGTTTTCCACTTAGCTTTCCAATCAGTGAAAATCCCTCACACATAAGTGGAATTTCCAATCCTCTTAAAATACTGAACAGCATAAATATAAGGGACTTAAAATAGTTTATGGCACGGCTCAAGGACAAGGTCTCTGTGGGTGAGTCGCTAAGAACTTCCCTTTGGGCAGAACCGGAACCGTGTGATCTCATCCCCACGCCCATGTAAAATTAAAATCTAAACAGTTTCCTTCATCAGCGACCGAACCTAGATTTCCCGTCTTTCTAAAGCGATCTTCACAAAGGATGGTTTCGACTAAACCAATTCTGGCTGGAGAACATGAACACTTGTCACACATCAACCACGCAGATGGCGTGGCGCGCTAGCGAGTCCTCTCCACTGGCACAGTTGTTAGCCTCCAAACACAAAATTGAGAGTTTCAGAGATGTCTCTGGCAAGCTTTTAACCGTAAAAGGCACTGTGCTCTCATTTGGCAGGTGAACTGAAATTTTCGGGAATCAGCACTTCCAAAATCGTCATATACGGATGTATAGTAGGAAAAATGTTTGAAAGGAAACTAATCGGAAGGAGGCCTTGTCAAATGTGATCTTAGCGGTTGAGACAAATGGGTATTGACATATCCTTCTTTATTGTTCATAAGAGCCAATTCATTGCCATAGCTTGCAGTTTTTTTTCTTTTAATTATGTTTGTTTGTAATCGTAGACCTCTCATTAGCGGATCAGTGTAGATGAATCAAAACTTCGCGTGATGCACACTTGCCAGTGGTAGCTCATCTCTCTTGATATCCACTCCAGCTGTCTCTAGTTTATTTTTAATAATGCGAGCCTTGCTTGGGAGCATCGTGGGCTTTTTGGAAACAATCCAAAAGACGCTTGTTTTGACCTGATAGAATCTGTTAAAGAGTGAAGTGAAAAATAACGTCCTAAATCTAAGTGCAACATTAAGGGGAAAGGGCTCCGCAAGTTCAACATAAAATAAGATAGGCATGATTAAACATTAATCAGGACACTGGTTGAGGGGGGATAGAACCCTGAGACTGAATTGAACGAAAAGGTTTTTTTTAGCAGAATGTCAGGGGAACTGTTGATGAAGGGTCTCAATGGGGTTAACTGTTGGCCGTAAAACAGCCAAACAAATTAATCGTTAGCCGCAAACAATGGAAACATTTCAACGGTAGGTCATAAAAAAAAGTTAAGCGCAGACATTTTTCATTTAACTGTGATGGAAGAAATTAATTGTTAGCCGTAAAATAGCTAAAATTTTAACCGTTAACCGAAAAATCCATCACCCCATTGATACCCTCTAGATGTAATTTTCATGTGATCAGCTGAATTTACATCAGGAGCACTTTTGGAACTGTCGTTTAAAACAAGATTCCTTGTCTCTTGTTAATTGGGTAGTTTTCAAGAAGTATATTGTTTCTTTATGGTATGAACTGTTCACACATGTTTAAGACAAGTGCAAAAACAGCTTTTTTGTTTGTTTGTATGGGCGGAATAGGGATGGTCGTAAGAACCGTTGGCAAATTTGATAATTCATCCAAGGAAATGAAATAGTATAAATTAGCTTGAATAGAAGTGGCTGATGTCTCAAATAATTGAATTTATATCATACTTGTTTCGTCGATTTATCAGAAGCTGGTCGCGGCGCAAATTGTATCTGCCAAGCATTCTTTAAACAAAAAGCGAATTTTTTTTTTTATAGGAAACTATTATATTGAAGAAATGGGATGAAAAGATATACCTGTGTGACTCATGGGCAGTCAACTTAAACGTGATCTTTGTTTTGTATGAAATTCGCCTCTTTGCGAGTTTTCTCATATAAACGCAAGTGAAACGTGAAAGGAAGATGAAAAAGTCTCTCACCTTACAATTATAAAAAAATGCAATTAAAAACAAAAAGTATTTTCCAAGAAATTAGGTACCTGCATAAAACAGCCTGGTTTTTTCCAAAATTTCAACGTTCTCCAATGTAACACAGGAATCGGACATGAGAAATAATTGATCACTTTTTCCTAGATATTTCCATGATCGATTCTGATCGAGGGAAAAGAGTATAAAATAACATGCAATTTCTTCAGAGGTTGCTCAGAGCTTCAAATTGAAGCACATAAAAAATTTAAGCACAGGAAAACTGGAGCAAGAGCACCTTTCGGCAGCACGTTACAAATATTTAGTGTCACAACGTCCTGTCCTCAGACGGTGATGATAAAACCGGCGCCACCTTGGCCATAACTGGGTCTCAGTGGCAGACGTAGAAATGCATTTCCTTCGGCAAAATTACAAGTAAAGTTGAGAAACTACATGATTCAAATGAGAGAGATAGCTTTACTTTGCAAAGAACTCTGTAATGCGGCAGGGAACGTGAAAGAATTTTCTGGAGAGGAAGACTATCTCGAAGGAAAGGTGTGGTTGGAATCACTCCCAGTATACCTAAGCTAGGCCTGTCAACAGAGATAAGAAAATATGGATATCCAAGGAGAGTAATAAGTTATGTTCCATAGGAGGGCCTCTAAACGATTTAATCATGATATATCAAACTTTGTAGCCTCCGACTGCGTCACTTACTTTCTCTTTGCATATTTGACACCCATTCTTGTGGATTATGGATGTAACTGATGACGTAATATAAAATATGCATGGCTTAGGATTTGATATTTCATCACACATTTGTACAATGCTCTTAAGTTTCACTTGCCTACCTAAGAGCTCTTAAAGCAAAATGAAAAAAAAGAGGAAAAAGCGGATACCCAGGGTTCCGAAATAACTCCGTAGTCCTTAAATTGTGCACAAGTGT